ATTCTCGACAAATATCGACACGTAGATTCCATGGACCCCTGTTAGAAGGTGGACTTTTACCTTCAACAAAAGCCAACAACACGAGTGCTCTGCACTCCCTCTTTAACTGCTCTTAACTTAAATCACATTACTGGGCTTCACAGTTATCCTCAAAATGGAGCATGCAAGTGCCCTAAAGGGTGGTTCCTTTTATGCACTGGTCATGGCCTGTCTCAAGGTGAAATTGACGACAGCAGCCTCGGATGAAATTATGACCCCTGTGATTTGGACAGTAAAATGTAGCGATCTGATTGGTTAATAACAAAACTTTGATCAGCAAGTGGGATTTCTGCAATTGTAGGAGAACTACACACAGACATTTAAGTGGACTCATCTTCTAATTGGAAATGTATTTCAAGGCTCATTCTGCCTTGTAGCTACTATCCACTATCCACAGTATTTATTTTGTGTAGGCACGATGAGTATGCACTTTTAGGTGTAGTTAATTAGAAAAATGCAGGAGGAGAAGGAGGAGGAAGAGAAGAAGAAGAAGAACATCAGCAGAATTGTTGGGCATATATCCCACATTGGTGGTAAACAGACCAACCCTTATTACCTTCTTCGCAATCAAAGTGATGGCAGCTGAGGGATCAGTGGACACTGTACAAACAGGCGCATCATAAATGCTTGAGGCCAGGAACACAAGCACGCAGTTATGCTCTCCAATGTGGCTAAAATATAGCGCCGATTGTATTAAATCGTGGCAGAAGAGAGCACATTTTAAGACTCTTCCACCTAGCAGATGGTGTTTATGAATTGCAAATCTCCTCATCACACTGTGCCTATCTTCTTCTATGTCCAAACTACTGACCTTTGTACCACCGCGGTGACCTAAAGTAGGGCCTCTTTCTCGTTCCTACTGATACTTTAGATTTCTTTTTTTTCAAGTTAATGCTGCAACATAGGAATGCAAGTTAATTTGAGTGGGTCTTGCGTCTCTCTTGATGGACTTTTTATTGAGAACTGTCTTGTCCACACAAATAATTCCCATTTTAACAAGTACAATTAGTTTGGGCGCGTTTGATGCTGCATTGTTTACAGGGCGGAATAAAATTTGTGGCAGGCTAAGCTGGGAGAGAGCAATCCTCCGAACTCCCACTTCTATTTATAGCTGAGAATTAATTGAGGAGGAAAACATCCAGATAACTTGAAAAACTGTTCCATCATCCTGTTAAAACATGATTTTTTTATGACTGAAGAAGGGGAAAGAAAAGTTCAAAATGACCTCGCGAAGTTGCTGACTCCTGTGATGTGCTCAACGCCTCATAGAAACCTCAAAGAAGCAGCGAAGTGGTGTCACTGCCTAATTTCCATCAGCCGGTGACAAATGAGAGAGTGCAACTTAATGTAATAAAAAAAAATTCAAAAATTTCCTCTTCTTGGTGCTTATTAGCAGTGTGGAATTTCCGTGCACATGTACTACACCGCCACTTACCTCTAGTCATTTGGTCCGGATTTTGAAGCCTCAAGGCAATAAAACGAGTCTACATGAATTTTTAAATGGACTGAGAAGGCTCACACAAAAAAAAATCAAGGACAGGATTGGATGTTGGAAATTTGTCTTCTTCCAAACAGGTCTAAGGTTTTCCTACAAAACGGTGAACCTGACTAAACGTTTTCCGTATACTTAAGGTGCATTTGACCGCTTAAAATGTAAGGAAGGAGTTTTTACCCAACTAGAAAGATCATTTGTTTGGATCGTGATTTTCGTCTTTTGTTAATTTAATGACCGTTCTAGACAGTGGCAGAAAGTGAAGTGTTTTACTAACTGAGACTTTTTCACCAACCACAGGCTTTAAAAAGGAAGAAATAATTGTACTTTTATTTTACTCCTTCTTCTTGGAGTTCTTTTTGTTCGCACAACCATCAAGTTTAAATGAATGAGACATTTTTAGAAGGCTTCGCCTCTCCTTCCCCTTCTTCTTGGGTAAGAGCATTGAAGGGCGAGGAGCTGAGACCTCTCGCCCAATCCCAACAACCAAGCAGGCCGCTGACAGATGACAAGGCAA